TGTTGGGGAAATGGAAACAAACCAAAAAAGAAGCTTATTTCTAAACATTTATGTTAGTACTTGATAAATAAATAGACTTTTGAATTTGAAGTGATTTCGTTTTTTTCCTTGTGAATAGATTTCTAAGAAGTTGGAATATAACTAAACAATGAAATCCAGAATGAGTATTTCTTCCTATTTCAGACGTATTAAATGGATATTCTTGAATATTAGTAGTGATATTAGCATTGAGGTTTTAATACATTACCGATTACTTTAAACTCTAACTCATTAACCAGTAAGTTAATGAGTTCAAATAGCCTTTTGAATGATACTTCCCTATAATAATGTAGATTATTCATTGATAGTGATTACTAACAGAAAAGAAAGAATCAACCAATTGTTTTGTAATTTTTTTCAGTTATTTACACCCATGAACCCATATAGCATTTAGTTCCCGACCGTTGTTGCTACCTTGACGTGGTGGTCAGGCTTCCCTATCGTGATGAAGCGACCGAGCTACGCTGGCCGCAACAACCGTTCTCCAAGGTCCCACCATGTCAGACAGGTCGGTTGAAGAGCGGTAAGACTAAAAGCAACAAACCTAAGGTTCGAAGGCGAAGTCGTACTGCTGACTGTACAGAGGTGTGACAGCAGTAAGGTGTTTCCTTCAGACAACCAGCATCTGCAGCGATGCTGCCTTTCCTCAAGGAGGGATAGGGTAGGAAAAGGTCGACCTTAAAAATGCACACTTCGCCTTATCCCACGGATATCCGTCTCCGGCGGTGAGGTCTCAACAAGTACGGAGCCAACACAAAAATTACCGATAAAATGGTCGTGTGTGACCGACCTCAAGAAGTTGTCCCTTGAGCACTGCGGTCACGCTCTCAAGTCACTAAGACTACCTCTAATCCAACTTTCTTTTCATGACCTGCAGAAGAACCCTTCCACGGTGTGGGCAATCGGGAAGTGATAACCGCCCTCATACCTCTAACAGCACTCAAGACTGACTGATAGCATTGAATTAAAGCATTTAATTAATTTAGGACAGGATGATCCTATTTAAACAGTGAATCAAGATCCAGAGACTCATATTTTTGATAAGACATAATCGTATTATGATGTCTAGTGTAGCTAATTGAGTTACTTTCAATTAGTTCGAATCCAAAAGTCACAGTTTCCTACTAGAATTTCAAGGAATCTATATAAAAAATAATTACTAAGGAGTGAGATGTTAATTTTCTAGGTGGTTAACTATATATTCACCGATGAACATTAATCAGTTGGCTCTTTGAATCTTCTCACAGATGTTTAGACTGCGCTTAACCAGTCGTCCTAATTTGGATTCGTCAACTGGATGTGCCTACATCCCTAGGTTTATATTCAGTCCAGCTGATGAGTCCCAATTAGGTCGAAACGCGTGTTCCACATTACACTGAAAGCCATCATCCACCTCCATTTGAAAAGCTATCCTGACTGTTTACGTGTTTGAACAAACCAACTAGCCAAAATAATGAATTACTTTCTTTCAGATCAAACGTCGACTCCCAACCACATAGATCACACAAGACAGAACTCAGCGTATACATGTATAAGCTGGTATAAATAATGAATAATAATAGCGTGGTTACGAGTTACTTTTCAGTTGAGATTTGAATAGCAAGTGAAAATAAAAATCAACAAAATACCATTAACGACAGTGAGATAGAATTTTGTAGTCGGGTTTGGTTATTTCTTATGTACAAAGCGTAAATTACGGAGAACATTATTGCTTTGAGGAACCAAGTGGTTTCATCGTTGATATAGAAGAAACGTTAGATTATTAAGCAAAATGGACAGTTTCTCAGATCACTGGGTAAGTAATAGTGCATAAAGAGTTCATCAATTTGTGTGTGGGCTGTGATACTGCCCGGGTGCCCAAACCGAAGTAGGTGGTTATCTTAGGAAGCCACTCCCCGAGCCTTTGACCTAAAGGTCTAACCCACAAGGCAGTGGAGCATCGTAAGGAGATGCAGTCCCATGGAAGCCGGTGACCAACGATTGGTTCATACGCCATTTGTTCCCGCAGGATACTGGAGCCCATGTGCACCATTGATTTGGAATCCGGTTAAAGCGCCGGACATTCGCTTTTCGTCCTCTCATTTTCGTAAACAACACCCCCGCCACGAGAAGGCAATGAGTAGGACTTCCCTGGCAGAGGCTGTATACGCGTGGCCATGTGAGAGTATTTCGAGAGGGAGAGCGGACTCTCCCCACTCTCGGCCGTACCAGGGCATTCAGGGGGCAAGCCGACTCCTCGACCGGGAATCGAACCCGGGCCTTCCACGTGACAGGTGGAGATACTAACCACTATACAATCAATGCACGAATAGTGAAAGCCAGAGCGGCTTATGCCAATCTGGGCCACCTTTGGCGCCTTCGTGATGTTAGTCTGGCTGTAAACGTTCGGATCTACAACGCGTCGGTGAGAGCAGTTTTGCTCTACGCTTGTGAAACCTGGCCTCTCCGAGTTGAGGACGTTAGCCGACTCTCTGTGTTCGATCATCGCTGTCTCCGAAGGATTGCTGACATTCAGTGGCAACACCATGTCAGTAATGCAGAGGTTCGGCATCGTGTGTTCGGGCACAGAGATGATAACTCAATTGGTGTCACCATCTTGAAACACCGACTTCGGTGGCTTGGGCATGTTCTACGAATGTCGTCCCAGAGAATTCCACGTCGTGCATTATTTGCCGACTCTGGGACTGGTTGGAGAAAGCGGAGAGGTGGTCAGTGCATGACATGGTGTCGTGGCATGAAAGAAAGCTGCAAAGGACTGGCTTCTGTTGGTCCTTCACGACTCCCTTGTTGGGGTCTGAGAGATGGTGCTACACAGTGGCTAGAGACGTTATCAGATATGGCTCAGAATAGAAGCCAGTGGCGATCCTGCTGTAACCTTCTTTTACTTTCTTCATAAAAAGTGGTTGTGTCTCCTTTAACTGAAAGATTTCTTCTGATTGTACCTTTTCGTTCCGTCGTTACTACCATTCTACCTTACTCCAATCTCTTCGTCGTTGTTCTCTTTTTCTTTTGCGCTCCTTAGTTTTTTTTTCTACTTCTCTTCGAATTCCCCTTGTTTTGTGTGGCGCATATATATTGGCGCTCTCTTGTACCAATATTCATGTGTTCAGATAAAATAATAATAAAGTAATATTGAGGTTAGACGCAGGGTATTAGGGAGAAATGGTAAATCAGTTGATGAGGTTGTGGATCTTCATTGACTAAGAAGGTTGGGCCACGTGTCGCGTATACCTGAACACCGATCACCATGACGCGCAACCCTGATTAGTGTTGGGAAAAGATAGAGGTTAGAGGCGGCCAAACCAAAACATGGCATTAGTCCATAGTCAGTAACTTCTGGTCTGAGCGATATTGGCAGATGCAAACTACTTGGTTGGGGTGCGTGCGACTATCCTAACCAGTGGTTGGAGACTCTTGGTGATATGACTCTGAACCGATCACAATGGCGTAGATGTGTACTCTTTGCCTTCTCTTAAACTCCGAGATTAAAATCGTTTCATACCTTCCTTTCTACGAACTAATTCTTTCTTCCTGTACTATGTCCTTATATGCAGTTTTTTTTTAATATATTACCATCACTGAATTAGCTACTTCTATGAATTTGGTGTTCACCTTGTTGTGCTAATGAGATGCGGTAACTTGGATCGATGTATATCTATGCCTGGTTCTTCGTTGTAGATAACTTACTGAACACAATGAATGAAAATCTAAATTCATATATAATCTCTACTTATTCGACTGTACTAGAATGTCACCAATGGACTTAACGAAAATATAACCAAACATTTTATGTCTATCAGCACTGATGTCCACGATATCTATGATTTGTTTATTCTTTAGTCATCTAATCAATCCACTTTATTCTATGAAGTTTTCATTCGGTCACTCATTAATATCAATCTACTAGGGTATAAAGCATATGATTATTATCAAGCCTGATATTATTCAGACTACGATAGTCGAAGATCTCGTTTCTTAATCCAATGAATGAAAGATTAGTGCTTCGATCATATTAAATATATACACATTGAGTCGTCGTTTTTTTCCTTCTCAAAAAAAGCCGCCATCACATTAATTACTGTGACTTAGAAACAAAATGTATACATCACACTTGATATAGTTAACCCGGATTGACAATGAACTAATAATTATTTGAATAATGGAGGGAGGAGGAAATAACAAAAGAATTAACATTTATTATTCTATAATATATATGTTTATTATTTTTTTCCAAATATTTATAGAATGCAATAAAATGGTCAGGGGAATGAATGTATAATTCCCTTTTATTGGGATATATGAAAGTATTATATGTGATAATGATTATTTGTCATCATCATCATCAGCATTGTTACTTATTATGGGCATATTAATTTGAAAATACAGTGCTCAAAGAAAATGAGAATATTTGGAGTCGTGAACAAAGAAGGAAAAAAGTATGTAAATATATTCATAGCGCGATAAGTGTGAGTACAACACCAAATTAAACGATACATACAAGTAATAATGATAGTAGCAGTTATAATTAACGTCTACAATAATAATAATAATAATAATAATAATAATAATAATAATAATAATACATAAATTAATGCATTACGTACTGTACAGAAATGTATTATTATTATCATGAGTAGTAGTATATATTTATCTACTGGCAATTATAACGACCAGTACTATTCTATTAGGCAAGATTGATTATTAAAACACAGCCCACAAAGAACGAAGAAGTCAAGATGAACGTAGATAATAATAATAATAATTATTATTATTATTATTACTACGATTTTTTAATAAACCATTACAATGAAAGAAGACTCTAATGGTCCTCCCCTTGACAAAAAGAAAGTAGTAGTGGTTGGCACATAAGGAGGAAAGTAAATAAAAACACATCGTATTCAGAAATGCAGTTTGAAAGAAAAAAAAGCAACCTGAAAGATACACACAAATGACAATGCATTTTACAGCTGCCAACTGAGAGGTGGTTATTGTAGGTCAGTTGTGTTTGCCTTGGCTATCTTGTTTGCTTTAGCAAAGACAATGTGAATGAGAGCTAAATTTCTTTGGGGGGGGGGAAGTTCACAGTTTGTTCGACATGTGTAAACATTAGGCAAAGTACATGACTCTTAAGGTTTCTGGATGAACTGTAACAGCCCTCATCATAGCCGTAGGTGTACGTTCATCTGAATTGCCTGATTTTGACTTCCTTCACCACTAAAAAATAAAATCGAAAAGTTGTTGTAATTGGCATTATAATACAAAATACTAATGAAAATGATCTCAAACATTAAACAAATGTTAATAGTTACGTATTTATCACATACTTACAATAACTATGATATAACAATAGGAAAAAGGGGGAAGGGGGAACAGACCTGTATAAAACTACAGCATACACTCTATGGCATTATTGTTGCCTAGACTGATATGATATTATGGACCAGGAAAAATCTGTTACTTATATACTTACTAATTAAGTACGTTAAGCAGATTGTACAATAGTAAATGAAAATAAGAAACAATTGACATTACTGGAGGACTACCGATATATAATTTAGTTGAATTATTGAGTGAAACATAATAATCAAGTTTTGTAAACTTTAAAGTGAACCATGTAAGGGCTATCGAGAGAAGTGATATTTATATTTTAAAAGTGTTTGACTTTGAATTCGAGATATGAGTGAAACCAAATTGATAAGATATTAATACTCAATAATGATCTGTAAGCTGAAGACTGTTGTCAACCACACATAACCTCTCAGTAATTTAATCGATTATGTCTAATTTCCTTATTATGAAAAATCACTGTTTTGACAGGAATAAGTGTTATGATAGCATCCGAAAAGGTCTCTTCATTTATCCATTAACACAAGGAGAATAAGTGAGATATTTTGATCAGTATAGCGCGTAATTTAGTGACTTGACAAGGAGTTTAAGTATTAGATAATAATAATCTCGATGATAGTAAAATATCTGTCTTGAATGTACATAGAAATGGAGTGTGTTGTTTCTATCTTTAGTTCCTATTATACAATATGACTGATGAAAATAGAGATCTACAAAAAACAATTAATGGCTGAGATGTGGCAGAACCACACATTGTGAAATGTTTATGCATTGGATTGAGTTTTAAGCGGAAAATCATTTTTGATGATAATGAGACTGAACATTTGTCGCCCCCAAATGCTCTGGTACGGCCGAGAGTGGGGAGAGTCAGCTTTTCTCTCTCGAAAGGCTCTCACATGGCCATGTGCATAAAACCACTGTCAGGAAAGTCCTACTCACTGCCTTCTCGCGACGGGGGTGCTATATATGAAATTGAGAGGACGAAAAGCGAATGTCCGGTGCTTCAACCGGTCTGGTGGATACGGAAACTCTACCTCTCCAAACCAATGGTCACATGGGCTCCAGGATCCCGATGGAATAAATGGCATATGAATCAATTATTGATCACCGGCTACCATGAGATGTTGCTTCACTGCCTTGTGGATCAGACCTTTAGATCAATTCTTTGCAAAATTTTATGATTCGAGAGGGAAGAATTTTTAATTTCTTTTTTTCGGAAGATGAAAGTGTGCAGAATGAGCAGTAGGAAACATAAGCTTACTCAAATTATAATGAATACTTAGTCTACAGACTTATTTTTATTATTCATTTGAGTGTTCGAATTTCTTATTTTAATCGTTCTTGCTTCATATTTTCTGAGTTTTTCTAGAAGAAACTCATGTGTACCTTATTTCGCATTTCCAAATATTTGAGCTACCATGTTAAGCATATTAAAGTCTAACCGAACTGATGAACCAGCATAAACAGGAAATGTCAATCTTTTTGACATGACTCGAACAGCACTCTTGACTATGGTTAATACCTTGACGATTCCGACGAGATGGTCTATAGTGAAGAGACAATCGAGCTAAGACACCTGAGTTTTTAAGGCTTTATCACTTCAACAGATCGGTTGGGTAATGGTAAGACTAAAAACAGACTAAACTCAAGGTTTGAGGACGAAGTCGTACTGTCGACTGTGTTGAAGTACGGCGGTAGTAAAGCTTATTTCATAAATAGCAAGCAATTCCGGCGATGGCCTTTCACTGAAGATGAAAAAATTCAAAATATCAATCCCGATAGTAACGTACTCCTTATTAACCCTAAAACAGAACTCCATTTAATACTGAATAGATAAACTGTCATGACAGAATTTATGTTGCTCCAAGCTGGTCACCACGAACAGCGGTATTAAGAGATTTCACAAAATAAACAAGTATTTAAACAGTTTTATATCACGAAATAATGTAACCACAGGGATTAAACGTAACTAATCAAATCAATAAAAAAATCATAATGAAATCAGATCATTTTTAAACTAACCTATCTATTTCTTTTTCAACTAAATGATATCGTGCTCGAAATGCAACTAAATGTGCATAATAGGCTGGAGCAGGAATTGACACAGAACGAGTACAACGTACATATGTATGACATAATTGATAAGTTAAATTTTGTATATCATCAGCACTAAATCTATTTACCAATAAAAAAGAAGAAACAGGAAAATGAAAGACAATAATAACAATAATATAAAGATTATCAATAAATCTGTATATAACTTAAGCAAATACCACATGTGTATTAACAGATGTATAAAATGAACTTGAAAGTAGAACAAAAACTAGCATACTGAAAGAATGACAATTTATACAGAAAGAAAACTGTTTTAATCGTGGTAGAAATGAAGGAAAACTCTCGTGGTTTTTGGAGTGAAAAGAAAATAAGAAGTTAAATTTACAATACAACCAGTGAGTGGTTCTTTGGACATTTAACATAGTCAGTAATTATATATGTCTAACAAGTGTAACAAGTGGTAATACACCTGACCCATATCAGTTTCAATTGTTCACAGAAGTCAGATTTGTGAACTATCTCATCGTCATATAATTTTACCAACCTAAAATGATTTGATTTAATTGTGTTCATTAGTCATCACTCTGACCACTAAACAGTGATCAGTAAACATAAGACATTGTATACTTCGAATTTTTTTCATTAACACAACAGGTCAACGATCGTTCTACCTTTTCATCATCCTAGTAACCTTTTTTTAACATCAATGAAACGCTCAACGGATTTTAACATTTCATGAAATTTCAGAATTTAACGATGCCGATTATTAACAAATCTAGCAGATCAGCTCGCTAATTCGTGCATTTATGATGAAAGAAAATAAATCTTTCTTTTAAATTATTTATAATTCAAATCATTAAATGAACTGGGAAAAATAGTAAACTAACCTATTATCGTCCCATAATACATGATAATGACTAGGTCGTGAAGTGCCTTGAATACCTGCATGACTACACAAATAGAAATCGAATTCCGTTGGGTGGGTAATAACTTGATCAACTGTTGTTCCAGCAGGTATATTCCCAGATTTACCCATCTGATCTTTTTTGTCAGCACAAAATAGACGTGTATGATGCCGCTTTTGCACAACAATGAAAGTAATACCAGGCTGATAGCCTAATTCTAATTTGACACATGCTTCACGGATAGCACGGAGTTCATGATTTAAAACCTAAGAGAAAAAGAAGTTGTTCAACGGTGTAAAATAAGATAATATACGGATGGATAAAACTTGACTGCAAACTAAAATACATTATAGATAAATTATTACAAATAAATAATGATGAATCAACATATTTGTATACAACCCATCATGTGAAAAACTACTGTTTCTTTGGTTCCTAACAGTTATCAACCCATAACTGTTATATCCCAGCGAAGATTAAATCACGGGTAACTTCTGAGACATTAATTGACTAATATTATTTATATATTCTTATGGTGTAACTATTCAATAATTGGATTATATATATTTATATTCCTCTTATTATAAGCTTTATTTTGACCTACAATTTATTATTGTACGATTTACGGTTCTTAAGCTATGTTCAGTTCATTGACTACTGCCTCCCACGTTCACAGCCACATTTGGCCAAATATTGTACAAATGTTATTTTCTATTTTATGGTACGTTGTCGTCTGTCTGGTTGATATATAAACCGAGTATGTTTGAAACAAATGATTCATATTGCAGAAGCTGGTGTTTGTGTTCTGGACTCAAGTGGACGGGCTATGCAGACATAGGACCAAATAAGACGCTAGGCTGCTCATACCGGTCGGACGTCATTGGTTTGGCACAGTGCGGAGACTGTATAAGTCGCATTTTGATTGGTGGATAAGTCACGTGATAAAAAGCCGGACATAAAATCATAACAATAACAAATTATCCAGTAGTTTGAAAGAAGACATTTTCAGCACTCATTAAGTCACGGACCCCAAATAAATATAGCAACCTTATGACATTTGATTAAATTACCAGCTGCTTTCCTTTCCCATAGCTCACTGCTGAACATAATGCTTTCTTTAATAGGTTGAATTCTGTATGCTAGACGAATATGAATAAATAAATAAACTTCTATGGTAATTCGTTGACCAGAGTGTATACAGTCTTTAATTCGTTGATAATGGAAGTTAGGACAGTTCAAATATTTAATGAGTTACATCTTGAAGAAACTTAATTTGATATAACCAGAAACCCAAAGCGTCATCAGGTAGAAATAATATTAAAAAATGGGTGGATCTTTACAACCTAATATAAGGAAGCTGTAAAACTTAGGATCGGGATAAATGTATGTCAAAAAAATATTCTAAGGGAGATGAAAAGTATAAAAATAAATGAAGCACTATTCTCAAGTCCTTCAGGATTAATAAAAGATATGATAAAAGTGCCATTAAACAACTCATACAGGTTCAAATACTGAGTAGCTATGTGATATACCATGTCAGGAGCATATGTAGTTACTGATGTCCAGTGGTTATACACTTACGAGACTAAAGTATAACCTTCAATGTCGGTACAGTAGCCGATTCGAATTAAAATATAGGTATAAATTCACAATCATATCCTAGGTTGCCGAAAAAAAGAGTAATACAACTTGAACAGAAGCTTACATTTAAAAATTGACCTTCACCAACACCGTCTCGATAGTAAATAATACGAGTTGGTTTGAAACGAGTAGCTCGATAGAACTGCAGTAACAAATCTCTAACCATTGGATATAAATCATGTATAATTTCTTGACGATGCGATTGAACACGTACAGTAGCTGAATAACGACTTGGATGTGCATCCATGCTAGCAACAACGGCAGCAATACTTGGTTTAGTTTTATCACCAGCTGGAGGGTGTGTAACATCTGCACCAAGAAAGATAACTGGTTCACGGAAAACAGCAGGTCGGACGCTTGGAACGATAATAGAATTGATACCGCCTAATTTAACATTGATTTTAAGACAGAGATTAGAGAGTGTTTGAGGTGATGTTTTATTTACATTTTTTGACTGAACACATTGTGTTGCAAGACCAAACATAATATCGCCAACGCGCTTGACCTCAGCTGAAATCAAAGAATACATAAAACATCGTAATTGATCTACCAATGTGAATCTTTACAAAAAAGTGAAATGATATGACTATATCGCTAGGATATTCTCCCATTTTTCGTGAGAAATGACGAATGTAAGACTAAATTTTAAAGTTATTTTCGATAAAACGGGCAAGGAGGAATCTACAACGACCACGTTCTATGATCTTCATTTTCATCTTAATTATGTTGTTTGGTAAGTAATTCAGGTTTACATAATGATGGTTGAATATTCTGTAAACGATAGAATCATGGTTTCCATAATACATAATATTTACTCAATAGTTAATGTATCGGTCTCTCAACATATATTCGGTAGAAATATGGCAGTGAGTTTCGTGAGTAAATTATCTATTTAGCCTCTTTAGCGTAACACAGGTCGGTTACGATATTACCACCTAATTTCTCTCCTTAAAGTGTCTACATATTATTTTGTGCGAAATATCTTTTAGTGCTGTGTGCATAAATGTGATGGATTGGGTATTAAAAAACTAATGCGCGAGTAGAAGTACAATAGTTGTCTAATTTCAAGATAAAATACTATCTTTATCAATTAATGACCGGAATAGTTGTATAGAGAATAATAAGACTGTAATTGTAAAACTATACTGACGGCCTTGAGTGACTAATCAAACTTAGGTTTTTTCGATGCGCGAATTTAAAACGCTAATGCGGATACTTTCCTCCTGGAACTCTTGATTTTCATTATAGCTCGTGTTTCCAAAAAATCGGATGATCATCTTCCTGTGGAATGAAGAGCTAGGGTCAAGAAAATTTAGGAGTTAGGTTTTAAAAGATATAAAGCTAGGAATTATGGTCTAGCTGGATTACATGACTGTAATTTCCAACCTAAATGATAGGTACTTGGTACCACTAGATCTATTCATGGAGTTAAAACTCCGAATCCTCTGTAATTTCATTATTTTTGTGGAAGCTGCATTCTGACTAACTATTTTTCGTTAATCGCTTAATGTCATCAGCATAGTGTAGTTTTACCACTGAGATTTCAATTCTCGCTTAAGGTATCTTTTTAATTCATAACTCTGAAGTGATGTACCTGATTGTCATAAATAACTGATACTCGTCTCAAAGCTAGAATTTTCGCCTTCTATTTTTATAAGTGATTTGACGAGCCTACAGAGGATACTCAGTCAACTATAAATACAATCTTCATTGACATTCGCTAGAGATCATATCGACACAATACTTCATCTTTTATTTTATTTTTCACAATCGCATTTCTTTTTCTACAAAACATTCAATATTACTTAGCCAGTAAAAATAAGTAACATAAGAGTAATTAATTTAAAAGTGAATTAAAACGAGAGAAAAAACGAACCGTAAACAGGGGTTTTCCCAGGAAGAACAACTACAATCAACTGTAAACCAGCATGAGTATTCTTTAAATATCGAAACATTGGTTCAACTTGATCTTGACCAGTAGCATATTTACAAAAACAAGGTTGTCCTAAAATAGGCATACCAGCATCATTGGAAATTTTCTGAAGTTGTAGAGTAAACAGTCTAAGCATACAAAGTGTAAGAAAACAAAATGGAACAAGACAAAAATCAGCTGAATAATCAAATACCTTGAAAAAAAGGTCATTAGTGAAAAGAGTGTAATTGTATTTACAAGTATTATAGTAAATAATTGGCATATTCACCAGATACTTGGATATGAGCCACACTCTAAGTGCAAAGGCTAATAATACTACCCGATTCCTTATACTGATTTAAGCAGAGGAAGATCCAAACCAGGAACTTAATGGCAAAAAGTTAAACACCTTAACTACGATATCTTTTTATTCGCAGTCAAACCTACACATAGACCATTATATTATTCTATAGTTATAAATTGTGTTTACCGAAATTCATCAATCAGAGTACATGACTTCTACGCGATGTAGTAACAGTAGTTAGATCGATCAATGAATTGCGCTCAAAAAAGGGAAAGCATTAAGTAGTTGCCTAGATAGGAATTTGTGTATTGGTTTATATAACAGAAGAATATCCTTTCAATCCAACATTCACCAAAGCTAAATTATCGCAAAAATTCTACAAAAAATTAGATAATTGGTCGCTTTGATAAGTTACACGGGATTTAATGAAGACAGTCTTGCCAGGGAATATTTACTGAATATATCATCAAATAATGAATACATATTTATGTATATAAATTATTTTGAAGTGATACAAATCAATAACCAACCTGAGTGATTCTTCACGAACGATACGCTGTGGTGCAAAACAAGCGATGGCCCAAACTTTTATTTCAATGCCTGAAAAGAATTGTTTACCTCGCATATCCCATACACCAAGCTGTGGAGAAGCTTGAGCTTTAGTACGTCCACCATACTGAATCTTTGGCGCAGGAATGACTCGACCTTGGATTTCAGCCATACGTGTGTTAACATTAATGCCGAACATTTGTAAATGAGGATCAGCATTAAAATTAGCTCGCTTCACCTGTTTTTATTTAAAGAACAAATTGATTAAAGAGAAGAGAAAGAAAAGACGTGCCGAAAGTACTTCCTAAACTAGAAGACAGTATAAAACATCCCAAGTTTAACATGTCCAATGCAAAACTAAGAACCACGGAATAATAGCAAGACACTACTTATTATATATGAGTAGTATGAAGACATTATGCATCACATAGTAAAGGTTATCTGTAAAGTTCATACAAGTATCGGGTTACAATACTTAACCCAACTAGTTCATTTTCCACGAGTGAATGAAATACTTTAAGGTAACGATTAGTTAGGATTTAAAAACCTCGAGATATAGTATGACGTAAATATAACGCATGAATACATTGTTTCTGTCTCTACCAGGCTCAAGTTGTTCTCAACGTTAACAATGTTCATTACGTCATATCCAAAAATTTAAGTCATTTTTCTATTCACTTTGTGGCTGAGTATTGGAAATTCATTTCATTTCAAGAGTCTAGAGTCATATGCAACTGTCTATGGTAAAATTTACCATATAGCAAAGAACACAGAATGAAGTACACAAAAACAAAGCAAAAGCTAGGACTTGGACTAAAATGGTAATTACACACTAGTATATCATACTCGCCCATTAAATGAACGGGAAAATGGCAGAAAGTGTTAAATGTAATGTATTTATGAAGCATTAAAAACGTTGTGAACAACTTCAACCCTATTGATTCCTTTGCTGAACGTTATAGGTAACAACAAAGATAATGCAATTCATAGAAGATTCACAGTTGAAAAGTATGGACAAAATAGTTATTCATAATTTTTTGATATTTTCAACAGTTATTTGAGTGAAGGGAATTAACTTAAAACTGAGCATTTTCAACAGTCAAATAATGATTTTTTTACAGGGATTCATTACTATTCACTTGATAACTTTATAGATTAGGTCTGTATGTTGGTTTGAACATGACATGTTGGGTAAAGCAAAACAGACAATAGATTGCCTCAATCCTATACAGCAGGTAAATGAAAATTAAGTGTACGTAAACTAAATTGGACAACAAACGATAATATGTATTCACTAATTTAACAGAAATAATAACAAATTGTACTTCGTCAATTTGCCAAAATACCAAATATAAATATCTGCGTATATTCGTGTGAACAAATGGATAATTACATTTTCCTTATTTAAAAAAAAGACAAACCATGAGGATAAAGAATAACGAACAAAAAAAGAATAGTTAAAATTGAATAGGCTTACAAGATTATTGATTTCTTTTTCACGATCGGGGGCTGAACGAGCTGTAGCCTTAATCATAGTAGATGTCTGCATATCAGTTAGCTTTTTAATACATCTCTGACCTGCTACCATGTTACAAACCTCTAATGGTAAATACGTGTGCTTTTGTTCCTGACCAACTTGAAGACATGGCAAATGAGGGTAGCTATAAATTTCAGAAGGAAATTGAGAAAACGAAATTGCCTTACAAGTAGTAAAACAAAGTAATAAGAAGTTAATAATATGTAGTGACACATTGACATGTGATATAACTTACTTACGAAATACAGGATTTTTGTACTCCCTTTTGAACTGCACTAACTGCGTGGAAGGTAATCTTACTATTAGATTATCCAGACCAAAATGTAGATGCGGCGTTTAGCCTTTCAATCCATTTGTTGAATGGTCAATGTTTTAACTATTAAGTCAATGCTCCAAACAGTAATATGTAACTGTGAGTGGTAACTTATTGGTTGAACCAATCAACTTACAGTCATTAAATACTAAGCTCAAACTTTGTCCTACCTGGTTTGATTTAGATAGTTGAATTATAGCTAACAATCAAACAAATATGTGGTTTAAAGCTAAGTGAACCAGAGATATTTTTGATTATTGAGTCCCATTTAGAAAAACTGATATCGCCTAACACTGATTTACTTTTAGTCTCAACTACTAGCAGATAACCAAATGAATGAAGGGGAAATATACGTCTGACCGTCTTGTTAACTACCTAACCGATAATGATTACAGTGGGAAGCATGAGGAAATTTTTGCGCTAATAATCAGTAAAACTTTACGAAATAAGTTACTGTGAATACAAGCATGGAGTTAGAACAGCGCAATGATGATGAAAGGGAATCCGGAAATTTTGGGAGAAGAAACCGATTCTTTTAAAAAAAAAACCTTAGTAACAAATTTCTCGAATTTAAGATGTGAAATAGGAATAAATTGTTTACAGATCAAGGATTGCCATCAACTGACAGCAGAGGGTTTATAAACTAATTTGTAGATCCTAATATTCAGTGTTTAAAGTCGTAATCTTGCAATTTTACAGTTCTTAACAATATATGAACTGAAGATTTGTCATTATCCCATTATATCGGACGACCATCATTCATGCAACTTCTCTTTAAGAAACCGATTTAATTCTATATTACATATCGAAGAATTATTCCACATTGAAAATCGATATATTATTTTGAATTTATAATTATTCCTTGTTGATGAAGTGATAAATCTGTCTGAACGCTTGAATCGGTTTCCTAAGCTCTTCTACACAACCTGAACACAAGAGAAAAGGAATGAAGCGTGAAAAGAACGCTTTACTCCGAGGTTAGTTTATGTACAAGAAAATTGAAGGTTTTGGAACCCTATTAAATATATTAGCAGGATAAATAACCATCCAATCAGAAACGTGACCCTTCACTTTCTAAATGTTTCTGAGAAATTCAGGTTAAACGCTGATTGGATAAAATGTTTTCCAGTGTTTGCATGGCCCCTCTGGACATTTTTGAGAAATACTTTGGATATCCCCCCAGCATAAAGATGCTGAGAAGCAACTTTCTAAATATCTGGCAGTTAGAATAAGTTGTGTTAAACTCATAGTTGGTTTTTCATTGAACATGACATAATTATTTGTAACAGCTTTAAAAAAGATATCTGTAACTGAAACCAGTAGACAAACAACGAACAAACATTCAAGCACCGGAAAATAACATCTAGTTACAAATGCAATACAATCTAATAAAAATATTAATTAAATAATAATAGTCCTCACTCTAGGCGTATATTATAACGTTCTTGAAAGTATTTAGCAACAGTACATTCAACTGTAGCACCAGTGTCCAATTGTAAAGGGAATGATTGAGTTTGAGAAGGTCGTCGTGTCACATTACACACACGATATTTACGTCGCATTGTACCACAATGAGTGATCTCAACTTTTAAACCTTAATATGAAAGGAAAAAATACGAGAAATTGAATTGTACAATTCTATGAATACTGGAAATAGTATACACTTGAAATTGTTTATAGCTAATTTGCCTTTCATTTTTATCTATATGATTACATATTCGATTCATGTGGGTTCTCAATAGTTAGATGACAAATTTTAACCTAATTTGTGAAGTGTATTCTGGGTAATAATCAGGTAGGAGTACCAAATATCAACGATTCCTTGTTATTTTTAAACAAAATTACACAAAACCGAACACGAATACAAAAATGATTTCTACATTTGGTCAATTTGTCTGAGCCGTCTGAGGCATAAATGAGTAGTCCGTCTATCTATCAAGAGATGAGTATACTGAACACTGATCTGCTCTGTATTACCATATAGTTGTAAAACATCTGGTTTGTTAAAATTTGATTACATAGGTCTTCGAAGCATTACCACTTTACAATGAAACCATTAAGTGAGCACTGTTAAGGAGCAAATATAAAGAATAAGGGCGACCTAATCAGAAAATAGTAAGGTTTATCAAAGTCATGGAATATATTATTAGAACAATATGTTGCCTATCAGATGTAGATGATCAGTCTTAATAATAAAATCAACATTAGACACTTAAGATTATGGTTAGAATTTAGGCTTTAGAATTAAAATAGTTTTCATGGAATATGAATACCATACTGAAGCTCAAATAGAAATGATAAACTGATTGAAGAGGACAGAAACCTTCAACCTTTAAGTTGGTTTGGTTATGCTACACATTCTGCGTGATTATCGTAACCAATGGTTAGAGACTTTGAATGACATGGCTTAAAATCGTTTGCAATGGCGCAGGTGCATCCATTCTTTGTCTCACCTGAAATTCTGGATTCTCATAACTATTCACTTTAATCTCTTCTTTCTTTATTTAGAAGGATGCTTTGAAGATTCTGGATTCACGAGATTTCTATCCTATAGGTGCTTTTCGTGCTTCTTTGGACAGCATCAGTGCAGTTCCTTGTATGCAAAGCAATTCCTTCACGATCAGAGTACAAAAGCATTTCTCCCGAAGTTTATCTTTTCTATACAGCTCGAGTCCAATGTGTTTCACATATTCTGAGGACCGCCAATTCGTACCAAGGTGGTCTGCTTGAATATTTGGACTACCTGTCCCTGCTATCTGGATATTTCAACAAGTTATCCGTTTTCCTGTTTGTCGCGTAACCCATTCAAATGCGTTTGTGAAAGGTTTACGACACTTCGCTGTACAAGTTACAAAAGAGCCCAATCAGAGACATCGAGGTTGCTGGCAATATACATTAATCAGATGTCGATTCCTGAACTGCTAACATCTAACTGGCGACCAGTCAATATTTATCGCAAGGGTTGATCAAGAAATAAGGAAAGGAAACTTGTTGAAATACTTTGTGCCGGGAATTCTATATTGTACCAAAAATATAGTATTGAATAAAGCCACTAATAATAATAATAATCTCAGTATCTATTCAACTGGTCCTCCTGGCCTCCCACATTGTCCGGATATTCCATATACCTGTATTAATAGTTGCTCTGGTTGTTAGAGCAACGGCCTCGTGATTTCCGAAGAATTTAGGCTTTCATCATGAGGTGCCACAACTCTCTTAAATAAAGATCCACCAACTCCCAGGGGATAGTTCAAATGGTTTACATGACTTTTTCAGGTAAACGTTTTTTTAGCAAGGTTGTTTTCTACAGGATGGGGTTGCTAACCCTAAGCCCAATCCGGGCTTGGGACAGGCAGGGCTACATGTGGAGTAAAATAATATATAGAACAAAAATAATAAGACTACCTTTAATTTCTTTCGTAAATTTCACTCGCTGACTATCAGTTAATGGTCGACGTTGTTCATTCTTATCCGATATATCTAATACTTCGCACATAAAATCAATAACAGATTGTGCTTTGTAGAATGCAGTCGCAGATACTACAATTTAGGAGGGAAAAAATGATTCAGTAAATTTTATCTAGTTCACAGAGAAGAAACAATATTAATGATAATAATCATCAAAATATTACTATATTTGAAAACAGCTGGATTTGATCAAATTTTTCTGTAACTTTATTTTTATCGTAGGTGAACTATGGACAATGAAATAGACAACTAGAAAAAAATGGACTTCAGACGTTAAAATCTTTATTTGTTTGCCTTTTTCATAGAAAAAAATAGAAAACATTAAAGCGATAATAATGTCCCGATTTATTTGACAGACAATACATAATACAGCATGTACTTTTTAAGTTAGAAGATTAATTCAACTGAAAGATGGCTTTCGTGACTGATTGAGATCAGTTTAAGAACCACTGAGAATATAGAAGCAGTGAATAACTGTTTATTCTACTTCTGGACTGCCCGAAAATGAGTATCCATAACCACCACCCTCCCACTAACTGGGTTAGATATATACAACGTTCAAAACTCTCAATGAACAGGATACCTTTAGACCGAGTTAAAACACTAAGTCAATTACGAAAACCACTTAGTAGCTGTGGATTTGTTCTACTTAGGTAAATATTTCATTAAATATAAAATATAAATAAATAGTATTAATTCCGTAACTAATTTCATTCCAACAAACAAAACTAACCATCGATATTTAGCATCATACGCCATTGAGAAGGTCGAACACTCTGATGAAAACCAAACCATACTTCTCGACCACCACCGAGAGGATTTTCATATCCATCAGGATTTTGAAAAAAAGATCGACCAACTGGCGTGTAGCTATTAATATGAATAAAGAAATTCAGCGATTAATGGTCGACATTTCATATATTTTCGATATATTTACTTTCACTAACTGTAAACTAATAGAACCAAAACATGAATGATGGATTGTATCGCACAAATGTTGAACTACGAGTATTATCAGGAAACTAGGCAAAGTTAACACAGCATAATAAAACTCCTCTACTCGCGATATATACTTACATAAATATAACTGATGTTTGTAACTAACATTAAGAGGATCCTCATAACAAGGAGAATACGTAAAATCATTCTCTGTTCAAGATTTTAGCTTACTACACGTGAAAATAATTTCTCATGAACTTTAAAATTTATTATGGTAGTAAATATCTTAATTACTTTCAACAATAGTGATTTATTCGTGAAAATTAAGTAATTTTTTGCACAGAACGAATGAACAGAACCAATGAAATTAAAGAATCAATGATTGGAATCCACACTATACTACAGAATAGAAAAATTCGAAAAGAGTGGATCGATCTCTATTTTACTGGGATTGATTTGAAGCTATTGATTGTTAACAAGTGGAAATCACCTAGAAACTGCAGTCTCATATGTCTACCCCATACTAGGCCTACTTTAGCATATGCTGCAACGGTTCGACATAGGTCACGAAGTTCTGAACCATCCACGTAGGTATAATTTGAATAACTTAATTAACTGACCTATAATTATTACACCTACGCAAAAGACTACTCAGCCTCTGTTTCTATCAGGTGACATTGAACCACATTAGTTTACGTCGTCACATCACGCAACAGAATGAGACTATAAAAAATCTGAAAACGAAACCGCTAAAACTGTTTCGAAAGCAATGAAGAGGAATGGACCAATTAAAAACTAGAAAAGATGCTCAAGAATTATGATCAAGCGAATAGAATTGCACCACCGCAATTAATTTCTACTTGTCGAGTAAGGATTTACAATACCAAAATTCTAACATTTCAATGTGCCTCGTACCAAGGTCGGGGGCTTTATATGCTGATGTTATGTACTGACATGATCAGCTTCATAATTAACCCAACCTACATTTATTACAAGTCGTGATTTCGCGAAGAGTTAGTGATGACCAGATATTCACAACACATGCTTTATGTAACTCAGTTAACGTAGGCACACAAACACAATAAACAAGTTATATTTCATTTTTAATCTAGTGAAAATTCCCATTTTGACATTTGGTAAATAAAAAGGAACTAATTGAGCGAGGGAATTTCTTTTCATTTTTAATTGCTAAGGAGGTTTGTACATGTTGGTATGCAGCTCAAGTATAAAAGTTTGAACTAATCTGTTGTTGAACCAGGTTCTATACTTTTTGATTGACTTTAAGAGATGTGCTTTTAATACGTTCTAAGTTGCTCAAAATTGTTTTACTCTAAAAAGGATGACATTTTATTTTAGCACCTAAACTATAAGATACACTACACAATGCCAATAACAAAAGAAAATGAAGTTGAAAATAAGAAAACTATTACCTCATGCTCGGTAAATGACGCATGATAACATCCAACGATATGACAGCATCATTTGGAATATGTCGGTTATGACCACCTAGAGCTTCTTCCAAGGCGAAAAGAGAGACTTCTGAAACATGTTTAATGGCAACACGAAAAACTCTGTCTTTTCCTTCTCCAGGTAGAGTAACTTCCAGTTCAACCTAAAAAGCAGTAAAAAGTAGTAATAATCTGCTAACAACCAAAACATGAAAAAAATGAGTTATTTCATTGTAAGAGAGCCTTGACAGATGTCTCAAGCAAAACCAAACACTGACAAAATTGTTGACGAAATACCGTTTAACTGAGACCATCTAATCCGAAGGACAAACTGGACTGCAAAGAAATAATCATTGAACTAATATAAGACACATGCCTATCAGCTGTGAATGCTTAACAAAATGCGGGCCTTGGTGATTTCAAGTTTGACTAAACAACTTTTAGAAATTCTAAACACGACCATAATACCCTAAGCATTATGGCAGTGTTAATAAGTCCTACAGGAAGAAGATAAGTGAACAGTACTAACTAACTGATGTGTGGGCGAGGAAGATAATGGTTGGTTGTTTGCTTAGTTAGACTGCTGGATAGTCTGACAGGCATCAGATGAGTTATATATTATCCTACCAATATTATGAGTGTGATTGTTGTTGGTTTTCGGTGTGGAAATATACTTGCGTCCCAGTTAGGCCAGTCATGTGTTCTTGATCAGAGTTGTGTTGAAGTCCTGTACAATAGACACTGGAAGGGTGTCTAGTGTAGATATTCGTCTAAGGTAAATTAACGCCCCATTCGTGTAGACAGGAAAGCCGAGCATTATGGCAATAACTGACCATTCGACCAGCCATGGAATAAATGTAGAAAAATGCACAGAACTGTAACAAGTGTCAGACTACCGTATGTGAACCACTGTATTATTTTATAGAATAGATGGAATGGGACCAGCAGCTGAATCCATGACACGCGGTTCGTCCTATTCAGAACTCCTCCGCTGAATGTACTTGCATTCCAGAGCTAACTGTCGTTTTATAATTTAATAACTTAGTTTTCTGACTTCGAGACTTGTCGAGTAAGGTAGTATCCAAGAATACTAAGCAATAAGAGATAACAGTGGCGACGAGGTAGAGGGAAAACGCATCCAAGATGTCTATATCGGATGACCAGCTCAACCGAATACTACAACAAGAGCAAGCACAACTTGATGCGTAAATAAGGTTGTTGGTTATGGTGCCCTAACAAATATCAACAGAGTGTGAACGGTTCAAGTTACGCTCACTGAAGGAGGACCAATTTAAACGATAAATATTCATCAAAGCTGTCTAGTCATCATGCATCGGGAGGAGTGCTAAAACTGGTTTGCGAACTACAGTGTGAATTTTCCTTTAATGAAAATAGCTGTGAAGGAATATGTTATCTGACAAAACGCCCAAACCTTGATTTTGTTGGTCTAAATATGCTAGAAAAACTTGGAATAATTCGTTTAGCCATTAAAAGTGTTTGCAACGTGTCGAGTTCATCATTGGATACTCCGATGCTTGCAAAAAAGACAAGTGAAAGGTTGCTAGAAAAGCTAAGGAGAAAATTCGCTCCTATTCTTCAGAATAGTTTTGGTCACTGTACCAAGGTGAAAGCTCAATTAACAATGAAACCAGATGCCAAACCTATTTTTCATCTGAGACGTCCTGTAACATATACCGCTCTTCAACTAGTCGATCAAGAACTTGATCGTTTACAACAAGCTGGTGTAGTCTAATCAGTCAATTAGTCTTAGTGGCCAGGGCCGATCGTAGTGAACAATAAGGTCAATGGAACTACATGTATATGTGCCGACTTCTCAACCGGTTTAAACGCTCTACTGGATACATGTCCGTATCTGTTACGTTCCTGAAGACCTGTTTACTAAGCTTAGTGATGGAACATGTTTCGCAAAAATAAACTTCGATACCTATATGCAAGTGAAAATAGACGACGATTCAAGAGAGCTTCTAACTATTGACACCACAAGGGTTGCTTTAATATACCCACCTACCATTTGACATCAAGACCGTACCTCTCATCTTTTAGCAAATGGATACGATTTTAACAAGTATATCTGGAGCAGCAACTTATCTAGATCATATCATAGTTATATGTTCAATTGGGAGTGAACTTAATGACCGACTACATCAATTTTTTAACCGAATGATGGAGTATAGTTTCCAATTACGTAAAGAAAAGTACATCTTAATGCATTAGATCAAATATCTTGATTTCATCTAATATAAGAACGGTCGTGGACCCGACCCTGGCAACATAAAAGCCCTTCAGAAGATAACTGCACTAACTGATGTTAATTCATGAAGATCCTTCTTGGGATTGGTCAGTTATTACAGCACGTTTCTCCCTGAAATCCATCCAGTGAGAGGTCCCCTGAATGAATTACAATCAAAAGACAAACCTCGGCAATGGTCAGCAGAATATCAAAGATCTTTCGATAAAGTCAAATCAATCATCAGCTCAAAGCCTCTCTTGACATACTTGGATCCCAGTTTGGGAATTGTTGTTGTATCTGATACCTCAAGTCATGGAGTTGGAGCAAAGATATCTCATGTGTTTCCGGACAGATCACAAAAAAATCGCTCATGCTGCCAGATCACTCAACCCAGGGGAGCAGAACTACAACCAGATCGAAAAAAGGCATCGCAATCACTTTCACTGTTAAAAGACTCCCTAAAATGCTCTACGGCTGTACGTTTACTACGCTGACAGACTACAAACCTTTAATTGCAATTTTCGGTTCTAAGAAAGAAATTTCTGTTTATATGGCTAACAGATTACAGCTCTGGGCGTCAATGGTTCTGAGCTATAACTTCAACATCAAGTATCAGTCCAAAAATACTATCGGTCAAGCCGACGCTTTCTCGATTGATTAGAATTCAACATTCTGAACCAGAAAATATGATCGTTGCCTCCAGAACTAGAGATCTAGAAATACGGAGTGTAGTGACAGATGCCATTCAAAACACTCCAGTGTCATCAGATGAAGTCAGAGAAGAAACTCTTCGAGATCCAGCCTAAAAAGAAGTTAAAAGGTTTCATCTAAAAGGGTGGCCCTCGAAAATCAGCTCTACAGAGCTTCAGCAGTTTTACTAGCGCAGACTATCTCAATCATCGATACCCGTCTTTTGTTTGCCGAACGTACCATAATCCCAAAGAGGCTACAACCAGCAGTGCTTGATCAGTTGCACGCAGGACACACTGGAATAAATCGGATGAATGTGTTAACACGAAGTTATGTATACTGGCCGCATTTAGACACCCAATTGGAACAGCAATCTAGTTGGTGTGTCGACTGCGCATTAGAAACAAGAGCACAGTGAAAGGCAGAGCTGAAATTATAGCCAATACCACAGTCACTGTGACAGCGTATATACCTGTACTTTGCTGGTCCACATTATGCAAAAACTTACCTTTAGGAATTTGATGCATACAGCAAGTGGCCAGAAATTGTTCTCAGAGGGCATCCAACTGCAAGCTAAAATCAGAAAACTACATCGACTATTTAGTCATTACGTGGTTCCACCTGCAACCACAGGTGGACCCTAACACCAGATCGTACGAATCTACTCAAAGGGGATGTGGTAGCGGGATATAGGCTCGATTAAGCCATGTTCCGTGGATTGTGTCTGGGCACGTTAAATGGCTATTTCTTAACCAATCAACGCTAGAGGATACTAGAAGAAAACTAGAATTTTCTTACATAAAAAATCATAAGTATGCCAATGTTTTTCTTATTGTGACTCCTTCCATTCAATCTTATTCATTTGGAATATAATTACGTTCCTATTCAACCGTGTTCTGATTTGGGGGTGTGTCGAGTGAAGTATTGTCCAAAGTATACTAAGCGATAAGAGAAATCATAACAGTTGGTAAATTTTGCTTATTGGCAAGTTAAACTTTATAAAAAAACTAGTTTCATAGCTAAGCCAATAATTAAAACAGGTTTTGCAAAAATAAATATATAACAGTAGTTTACCGACAAAGTCGACCATAGAAATAAAATTTACTGTAATACTTCTGTTGAAATTGGCTAAAACACACATACCTTCTCTTTACTGATTGGAAGTGGCTCACGAGTATACATATTTCTGCGACCATCAAAGACTGGTTTCTGGTTGTAAAAGTATTTTTGATAGTGCATTGAATTGACCATAGTCTCGATTATTTCACTTGATGTACAAAGAAATGTTAAAAAGTAGTTCAACAGAAGTAAAACGTTTAAAATAACTCGGAAAAAAAAAGGAAATCTCGATATTTCTACCAGGTAAAACACACTACACTCTAATCCACCATATTTTATTGCAATCTATTAATCTACAAATTCTGACTGACGAATTGGAAACACACTTCAAAACGAGTTAAGAAATAGCTGAATTTGGTACTGACTAACACAGGGCATTGACAATTGAAGACTATCATAAAAACAAAACTCATCATTAGAAATAATTCCCTTAAATCCTCTTAATCGCGGATGATGGCAGTTAGAAAGCCGTTAAATTTTTCTTCCGATAGTCTTAGTTACGGGTACCTTGAGCATAGACAACTAACAATAATTCGAATTTTCAATTAGTTGACAATACCCAGTTTATTGTCACTATATTTCAGACACACACTGAAATTGTAGTTGTTACGTGTTTTTAGGAGTTATTTTAAAACAATAGTAAACAGATATTAGGACAACGAATTACAGTTAGAGCGATAAAAGTGAATGAATCAAGGTTACATAGAGGAATAACACTGAACTTTTTACAAGGCGAACCAGTAGTTACGTACAGGTTCAAGTACTCCGTTTAGTATTATACTTTCGTGTGAGCGCTAAAGTAGGTAGAACACAACTCAAACCTGAAATCGAAATGCTCTAACAAGTGAGTTACCAAACTTTACTGTGTGGTCACTGAAGACTGAAATATGAAAATAAACAAATAACTGGGAAATATGGTCTACTACATTTGGCTTTGAGTGACTGGAGGAAACTTCAAGTCAGGTTTATCTACTTGTTAGGACTTATTACTAGAGTGAATCTGCAACATCGAGCAAACCTGTGCTTATTGCAAGATTTAAATTTGTATATTTCACGAGAGCAGTTGGAGTTTTACTGTACATGAAATACCATTCATCATAAGTTGAGTTACAACGTAGAGAGAATATTGAAATAAACCTACTAATCCTCAAAGAAATCGGCAGTGTTTATGTTGAACTAAGAGGGGATAAAATTTAATTTTAGTAAATGTTTCCTGCCCTCCTCAGGTAATATAAACAAACATTAAAACTATATCAAAATATAACTTCCAGACGAATTAAAAGTGAAAATATTTGAAATATGGGAGAAATGTTACAAGAACAACTAGGTCATCATATCATTCAAAATTAGCTGTCATTTGTAGTGTTCTGAACGGTCGTTTTAAAATACAGAATTAAAATGATTTAAGATTTTTAAACAATAAACCTACCGGTTTACGCGTCTTGGACATTTTTCAGGTGTGATAGAGACATCATAATGATGAAGAAATCCTTTAGGCATTCTTATTTCAAAGTGATTAGCTCTTAAACTGATGCAGCGACCCTCTGAACCTCTTCCAGGTCGAGCAGGTGGCTCAAATTGTATAAGATGTTGAGTAGACGCAGACGAGTGTCCACTCCCACTCCCTCCAATAGATCCACCGGCACCACCAGAGCCACTGCTATTACTTCCTGGTCCTGCACTACTACCAGCTCCTCCAACGCTTAAAGGAGGTGCGTCTCCAACACCACCTACAACAGGAGGAGAGGATCCACTACCGTTTGCTGCACTTCCATTACTGATGTTGTTATGAACAACTTCAGTCGGTCCATTACTAATCCCGTACGGAGCCCCAGGTGTTTTAGAAGCCATCCCACAGAGGGGTGGAAGAGAATGATTGCCATTATTAACAGTGGAGCCTGAAGATCCGCACCCGATTGGTCCGACTACAGACGACTGACAATGGGCCGGACTAACTGGGTTATTTGATGTTATGTTGGACAGACCCGAATTTACAGTTCCAGAGACAGCATCTAAAATTTGCAAGAATTATATGATAACAAAAGCTACATCCGCAAATCTTTTAGAATGGCTAGACGGCTAACAAGACTGATAGAATTGCAAATTTATTCTTTGACAAAAATGTTTACGAACATAAAAAACATCCTTACTTCAAAAGTAGAATAAATGAGGACGAATATTATGAAGAAGAATAAGACATCAGGAAGTAATCAAAAATGGGAGTGAAATATATGGCACTACAGGTCTTTTTAACCACATGCAGGATAGACAACAGAATATTTCAGTAATGTGTCAGGTACTGATAGTGCGGGTTTCTGACAATATAGAATCAATGTATGCTTTTTCATAACTAAGAAAAATCACAAATCACTGACCGAAGTTATTGACTATTCGTCTCAACCAGTCAGCTACAATGTTGGACCAGGCACATATGTACATCGGTCCAAGTTACCATATCCCATTAGCACAACAAGATCAACATTGGACTCATAGAAGTAGTTAATTCAGTGATGGTGATATATAAAAGGAAAACTGCATATAAGGACATAGTACAGGAAGAAAGAATTAGTTCGTAGAAAGGAAGGTATGAAGCGATTTTAATCTCATAGTTTAGGGGAAGACAGTGAGTGTATACACCTATACCATTGTGATCGATTAAGTCTTGTCACCCAGAGTCTCCAACCATTGATTACGATAGTTACGCAGACCCTAACCGAGTAGACTGCATCTACCAACATAGCTCAGACTAGAAGTTAGTGACTGCAAGCACTGATGCGACGTTTTGGTTTGGCCGCCCCCAACTTTCTTCTAACTAACCGCAACACTAGTCAGCATTGCGCGTCTTGGTAATCGGTGTTCAGTTGATGAAGATTCACAAGTTCATCGACTGATTTACCATCATTCCCTAATACCGTGCGTTTAGCCTCACTATTACTTACCTGGTGATCCCAGCGGATGCGAGCAATATTTCTAAGACATCTGTGGTCAAATACTAGTAGCTTACGAGTATCTTTTACTCTTAATGGCCACGTTTCGCAACCGTAAAGGAGAACAGAACGAACTGCCGCGCAGTATACTTAATCGATAGACGGATATCTCGCCTTCGCCATAGCTGACGTAAGTTGGCAAAAGCAAAATGAGCTATTCGAATCCGTGCTGAGATTTCGTCAAACACCAACCCATTAGGACTGACCAGAATTCCAAGATAAAGGAAGTTGTCAACGCGTTCGATCACTTCACTCCCTATCCTTAGTTCATATGTTGATGCAGGCCAGTTATGAAGCAATAACTTGCATTTAGAGAGGGAGAAGCGCATCCCAAACATTCTGGTATTGTTGCTCAGTGCTGCCAAAAAAACTCTGCATTTTATCAGTGTCTTCACTAAACAGGACTATATCATCTGCGTATTCTAAGTCGATAAGTAGACCTCCTGGTAGGAGATCAATGCCCGAAAATTCAGTCGACGAGAGCGTTATTTCCATTAGTAGGTCTATGATGAAGTTAAACAAAAATGGAGAAAGTGGACAGTCTTAACATACACCAATTGAGGTTTCAAAAGCAGATGACATAAGCTCTGACTCGACTGGTAGTGTTCGAGTAAAGAGCCTTTACAAAGTTTATGTACTTCTGAGGTACACCTTTCAATGACTGACAGGCGTCTAGTTAGTATTACTAATCCAGAAAAATTATAGTTCTAAATCAGGTGAATGAAGATGAGGTGACTAGAAAAATACATATGGGTTGGATTACTCGGCTACGAGGCACACGATATTGCATCAGTGTAAGATGATACTGTGCAGATGCCCAAACCGTAGTGAAGCACAGGTTGAACCCATATTTCAGCATTTAAATTCCTTAACTACTAAGCCATAAAAGAGTAATACGTTATATTCAGTGACCAATATCAACAGTCGCTTATGAAAACTCTAATGAGTCTAGAAAAATTTGAGACCACAATTTGTAGCCACTTGTATGCGATCGACAACTCCGCCCAATGATGTTACTACCGGTCGGAAGCCCGGATAAGGAAGGAGGGTTGACATGAGGTTAGCAACTAGACCCCAAGAGAAAAACCCCTCCTAGAAAACTCCAGTCAGAAAAAGTCGTCAAAACTGTATCCTGAGAGTTGAACGGTTTTCATTTAGAATTATGACGCCCCGTGATGAAAGTCGAGATTCTCAAGAATCCATGAGGCCGAGGACCCTTCCAATAACCAGATAAATAATATAAGTACATGAAATGTTTGCACAATGTGGGAAAACCAGAGGATTATTTAAACAGTCGGAGAAATGAGACTATGTTTCAAAGTAAAACCCAGTGGACACGATCTGGACAAAGAGGACTGATTTCAGGAAAGCCACTACTGTATTTTGGTTACGAAGAAAATGTCTCCCATACATTATGAGATGCACTGACGCTTTTCAAAGAAATTTAAAGTGTTTATGGGATGGGAATCTCATAGCTCCCGGATCATCAAAGCATCTCCCAAGTGATGATAAATACCAATTTTATCAGGTTGCAGTCGATTCCAGAGAAGCCCAAGGAAAGACCTGACTACCCTGATGAGTGGATTTAACACCAAAGTTAGGATGAACAACACTGAGTTATAACGTACTATGGAGTGGTACGGGCCTTGAGAAAGAAACCAGTAGGAGACTAGTAGATCTGTGCTTTCAACATGGTTACTTGTGGCAGCATTTCTCGATCATATCTGTATGTATAAAAAAACTGAGAAAACACATTAAAGACGTCAGAACAAAGAGAGCAGCTGATGTTGATTTAGATCATCTCCTGGTGGCAACCAAACTAACAATGAAACCAAGGGATCGTTCAGCGATTGGACAAGCAGCAGTACAAAAGTTTAACACAACCTGCCTTCGAGATTTTAACAAACTCAGTGAGTTCAACATGGCTTTCAGTACCAAGTTTGACAATAACTACTAGAAGATGAAACCACAATGGACAGCAACTGAGAAGTGATTAAAGAAGCAATAACTTCGGCCCCCAAATGCCCTGTTACGGCTGAGAGTGAGAGGAGTTAGCTCTCCCTCTCGAAACACACAAACGAGTGAAGAGCATCGGTGATGGAATTTCGTATAAACAAATAAAACAAATCTACAAATTAATTTACGGCTGTTTTCGCTAAGTATACTTTACGATTGTTTATGTGTTGTGTTGAAAAGTCTGTAAATGCATTACTAACAGACATGCTACTGGATTACGTGATGAATCTACCACATACACAAGCAAAACAAAGCAGATACCATGAAATCGTATTTACGATACTTATTTTTAGTACTGTTTAAAATGATTATATGAGGGTCAGCTATTAAAAGATAGCCATGAATGGGAACAGACACGGAATAATAAACTTCGGCCACAGACTTCCATTACTATCAAACAGCACAAAATTCAGCATGTCCTTTCTCCACCCACGATCATGCGAAAGACGCTTTTGAGACCTAAAACGTAAACCCGTTGGAATCATTTAAAATTGGTGTTTTACTCTGATTGTAGTAACCGAATTCACTATTTGTTTGGATACCACTCAGTGTCTCTGATTAAAGTTATTTTCTGACCATGGCGTTAGGTCTGAAAAAGTAGCACTAATGATAATTTTGTCCATCCCTAAAGGTAGAAACTGAATATCCGTAAAAGTCCTGCTCCCTTCGAAACGTGGAACCACATTTACTGAATGAACTATTGATAAGCCATTTTGCAACATCAAGACTAAACTATTAAGCTCCCGAACGAAGAGTATTGCCTCCATTAACTATTTATGTGTATAAGCACAAATTTAAATCTATGTTGCAACAGTATCAAATGACAGTGAATAAACATTTTAAAAGGCTACACTGTGAAGCCAACACTTAATTCAGAATTAACGACTGACAAAATTACAGACAAATTACAATTTATAGAGTAACAATCGGAAGATCGGATGTTTTTTAGGACTTGAATGCCATGTTCGAGGGAAAATACTTGTCTGACAACTTACTATAACCTTGTGAGAGCTCCTTCACAGAAGAAGTAAACAGGTGGGTGGGTGGATTATAAATAGTCCCATACATATTCAACATCTTTGGCTCAAAGACGAAACCCAGTTTGAAAACGGCGCCAGGCTTTGTGAATAACAACAACCCTGATGACGATTGACAAATAATTTCTGTCGAAACTAGCAAAGACAATGTTCTCCAGGATAGTGTAATTTACCAATAAGTAAGATGAAAATAATCGTTAACTCTTGTTTTAAACTTTGAGATGGTCAAAATATATAATTTTAAAAAGCAGTGAAAATTGAGCGTGTAGCGGTAAATATGTCCCGAAAACTAAATAGCTCTGTAAGTCTTCAACATTGGTTCTGACCTTGTTAGTTTTAATAGACACACCCTAGCTGAAGGCTTTTGCTCACACATCCTCACCAGATCACAAATAGGGACATCTTTCTACGCAATCCTTACAACTTCAAGCCAGCTTAAACCAAATGTTTTTCGACACATCTATAGCTTTACAAATACATCTCAAGACCCCTTCATTTCCGACTTCTGATTTGACTGGGTTGGTGTACTTCATTTATAAAAACTGTTACGTGTAAAGGCATTATCAAACTCCAAATACCTATGGCATTTTTAGTGGTGAGCCGTACGTGACCTGGTACACCAAACAATAAAGTGTAAATCTGTTCCTTGTTGTAATATTACGAAGTATTTTAATCTTAATTTTTAAACATAGTGATTTTTATATTCAGATTTTTTCTCATCCATTTGTATATTCTTTTCTTCACGACGAGATAGATACCTAAGCTGTTTGAAATTATGACTTTCGCCCACCACTTTTCAACTCTGGCATGATAATACGGAGGCTTGGTTCTGCTAAGTAGAAGCTGGCTTCCATGAGCACGACGTGACAGACTCACACGTACAATTCCTCGCTGTAGCGAAGATACTACTGAGCGATTTTAATATACATCACACCTAGTGACGTTTCTGAACTTGACGACACACAAAAAAGACTATCCTCAAAAGTAAAGACCTAACCGCCCGACAAAGTTCAAACCAGCTCCTCCACAATATTGGGTTGCAACAGAGTCCAGCAACAGAAATGTCGCTATGCATGCGAGGAGTCATTGGTCAAGAGGCCTTTGACGAAGACTTATTTAGATACCTCTTCTTGTCTAAGCTTCCCAACAGGTGCAGGAGGTTCTTGTCTCATTTCAAAATAATGCTGTAGGCGAACTTGTCTCATCTACTGACCGGATACTCGAGATCACCAGAACCCCTAGCACAGAAGTTTGTTCTGGGGAAAAAGTCAGAAAACAACAAAAAATGACGCTACAGACCTATGTCACACTCTTCTTATTATAATACTTATCTCGATCGCTACGCTCCAAAACTCCTCAAAGAATTACATCATGACAAAGATCTGTCTCTAGACCACGAGGGGCAGACAAGCGTGATTGATTTTTGTCCCATAGCCATCTGTCATACAACATGGATGTGACTATGATAGTCAGCATTGGCACTAAGGTAAGCGTTCTTCCCGTGAATTATAAATTTGGTCTGCTTGGACCGGTCTTCAAATTACAAGGGGGTAAATAGAAAACTGATTTCCACATGTGGCAATGAATATATTCACCTCAATGTGGTTTTATGCAAACCATTTTATGGGATTTTCATTGTTGTAGATATTTCTATGCCAATCATTGGTATACACCTGCTACAACGCGATAATCTACTCATCGACTCGAACAGGCAGAGTTTAGTCTATAGAAGTACTAAACAATCTATTTATAGAACCTTATTTCCTGACTATCAGTTAGGCTCAGCCACCGTTAAGCACATAATCAAACAGATACTTGAAAAGTGCTGTGAACTGTACGGAACGCCGCCAAAATTAGAGTGCGTAATCAGCAATCTTACACACTACATTACGACTACAGTACTATTGTGGCGTTGTAACAGCTTAGGTTGTTTGGTTAAGAGTTTACCTCAAGCAACTAATTATATGTCAAAGCAATAGAGCTCAAGTATGTATTCACTTCCTTATTTTGTATAGGCATTATATTCCCTATTATCTTATACTGAATGTTGAAAAGCTTTGTGTGTTTGAACAAGTAATCCCCAGCTCCACTGTGACTGCCACGCGATCTAAATACTTATTTACTACTGGTCTGGTTTCTTCTATCAATAGAACGAGGGTTACCTATAGGCTCGAAGGCTTGCTATTATATAACGTGATAAGATTGCCAATTAGAAACACTGATTTATCTTACCTTGACAGTGAACCAAGCCAATGACGCGTTCACCTATACAGGCAGTCTGTAGTCAACTCTGAGTCATGATTGGTCCTTCAGTCTAGCCCTGCCTGTTTGAGACTAGAACACAACTTCTACTGCATGAATCGTATATTTCACACATACTTGGTTTATATACGAGCAAATTAGATCACATGACACCACAAACTAGAAAATAAAAACTATCTAAGATCAAACCAAAAAGTAACTTTGATCGTTAGGGACGATAACCAACAAATTGAGAATAACTTAAGAATAGTAAATCTTATAATAATGGTCAGGGATTCGAATGGAACCATATAATAAAGGGAACATGAATAAACATATAATATAGTTACTTAATAGTTATCCAACAATAATATACGTATTAACAGCCCATAAATAATTCCTAGCAGTTACCATTCATTTATTCTTCCTCAGTATATAGCAAATATCATCTATATTTTTGAAAGAGCACCGACTAGCTTCAAAAAAGCCTAGGTTGACCATCAAAGAATTCAAGCACACCATAGACTTAGGGATCACCGCACCACCGAACAGCCCTCACAATTCTCTCTAAAACGGATAGCAACCATTGGCGTGCAACTGACGACTATCGGTCAATGAATACTAAAACCGCTCCCGATCATTACCCCTTGACGCATACCCACGACCTAACAACTAACTTGGAAGGTGAAACTGTTAAAGCATGCATACAAACGTCCACAACTGTAGATGATGTTCCAGAAATTGTTATCATCACTCCCTTCGGACTCTAAGAGTTTTTCCTCACACCATTAGGTGTGGGAAATTCTGCACAAATATTTCAGAGATTCATCGGTGACGTATTTAGAAGTCTCATTTTCGTGAACACACATGAAAATTACGTCTTGATCGCAAGCCTGGACCGAGAATCTCATCTACAGAATTTGAACATTGTTTTCGAACGACTGCAAAAACATCACTGTAAACATTCAGAAATGTCAGACCGGAACCGACTCCCTGGATTTTGTTGGACACAGTATCGACGCTCGAGGCATTAACTCTCTGAAAAGCAAAGCGGTTGCCATTCTGGATTGCCCACAACTGACCACAGTCAAGCAATTACAGACGTTCAACTGCCTGTTGAGTTTTCATCGACGGTTAATACCATTTTTTTCTCTTAATTATAACCTGACCACTCTAAATGCTTTGAGACTGATTAAAAGTTAACTATCAACCAGACTGCTGTGATTCAAATATTGACTGTTTATACTAGGGCATAGTACCTAGAAAATATAATTCGAGTCAACTTTACACTCGAATTTAAAACTGAGGAAGGAAAATGTGAACTGTAATCTCAGTGGGATGTTTCTGATGGCGGAAAAACTGGAACAGCAGAATAAAACTTCCAAGCATCGACCGTAGGATCGAGCAAAGACCTCTCACTTACTAGCGTATTTACTTTGTAGAACTATGGTCTACTATGATATTAGTACTGCTCTAATAATAGACCTAATCCTAAATTTGTAGATTTGTCATGATATAACTGCCTAATCTATAAGATCTTACGTGGAAGTCACACCATCGACTACACCAACTCACTGTATCGTATCAATTACCAATACATGATGTAGAACAAGGTTAGGCTAGAGAAAGAACAATATATTTAATATGAATAGAAGATATAAGGTAACATTCAGATGAACCACGCCTGCATGGCCGAGCCATGCCATCGATCAACTCCAGTCCATTCAATTCATTGTTCGCGCCTTCTCCATTGTTAGGTATTTCTCCGCGTTAAATATTGAATATCTATTTTCTGAGTAGTCTCGTGTTCACAGCTTTGTGGATTGTGTGGCTATTGTCCAATGCCACTACACTACTCTCCCACCAGAATCAACGTGATGTTGGTTCGATACCAAATTGGATGGGATCGTCGCGCGCCGGAGGTTACCAAGGATAATAAGAATCCTCCGGGTATTGGTAAGCTGAAAGATAAATCAAAAAGAAGGCGGCAGCATCTGGTCGGGAAATACATGTAATAATTTTAAAATATCTGCCTTCATGCTTAAAACGCTTGAAATGAAAATTTGGGTGAAGATTATTTGAACTATAAAAAATGGCATAACAATAATAATAATAATAAAACGATGCGTGTTAATAACTTAACTTATAGGTAGTAAGTATTTTGTGTTTAGAAATATTAAAGTAATGAATATTGTAGAAATGTTAATATTGGTATTAGTTTTGGTTTAAATTATGAAATCAAATAACGATTATGCCGGTAAGTTGTCCATATGAGTTGAATTCCAATTGCATCTGTATTAGTAGGCTAACTGAAGGAACAAAAGTATACCGTGGAGAAGAATTCCAACTAGTGTTCCAGTTAGTTTGATACGGTTTATTTAGTTACGGGGAGATTTCCTCAACCTCATTTTTACTTGACCGTGATAGAATTTAGTAATACTACTAATACACATGAATGGTTATCAAAATAAAATTTAAATACATGAGTGATAATTATATGAATTTTGGACAGATAGCTAGGAACAAATCGTTAAACATGAGTGTATTCGTAAGAGACATGCTCTAGACTCAATGTTCTGATCTGTGGCAGACTATTTATATATATTTATACTTGCCGGCTGATTGGGCATACAAGTTAGTTGCAAGTATGCAGTTTATCATAAGGCGGAATACGATTTAATTGAGATATAGTGGTTATAAGTTATTGAAATCAGTTAGGCCTGTGTCATATTACGAAGTGATGTGGTGCTGCAAGATGTATTTGGCTAAATAAGTTTTTACAAGATGATTAATAGTGAG